TCACCAATGTTATTGATGCCTGTAGAATTCTTTATATTTCCTAGCTGTGTTTTCCAATAGAGGTTCTAAATAACTCTTATCTATTTTTCGTCACTGTTAACGTTTTGTAGCATTTTTATCATTGCCTCGAGTTTCACAGTATCGTTTTTTCATAATCGAAGAATGTGATGAATGTATCCTTCGTTGGTCCATTTCGCTCTTAAAACCAAATTAAGTCTCGCTGCTAAGCTCTTCCAGCTTTCTGAGAATTCCTGTGTGGATCGGTCGATCCATCCTCCGAATTTTTGGGAGATTCTTATGGAATGAAAGAGTTGAACAAATTTGCTATCTGGGCTGCAATAATAAAGATACCTAGGATCATACGAAATAGAAATAGTATTGAAAGTACCAGTTCTTAAAAATAACAGCTCTATTGGCTCTCTTAATGATCTTAGCATTATTCTCTACAAATTATCTGTTAATATACGCAAAGGAATTCTTAGATGTTACGTCTTTAGCGTCATTCTCTATGGAGTAGAAATCTGGAGTCTTACAGAAGATATCATAAAACGATTAGAGGCATTTGAAATGTGCTGCTACCGATGGACGTAATTTAAGGGTATCATATATATACCACACAATTAACATACCTATTCTCCAGAGGTTACGAAAAGACAAAAAAATTAAAACTTTAAAGAACAGAAAATTATTTCTTCGGCCATCTTACGTGTAATAATATCTACCGACTTTTACAGTTGATTCTACAACGCAATATTGAGGGCAAGAGACGCCCTGGAACCAAACATGTATCCTGGCTAAAAAATCTTAGCAAATGGACTGATTAGTGAACGTGAACGATTAGATAAGAGGACAGGCACCTTGAAAAGAAGAGGAAGAAGTAATATCATTAAAAGACTAACAGATTGGTCAGTCGAAGAACTAAATAATGTACCAAGGAAGATGATAGTAGAATAATTAAGAAGGAATACAGTGGAAAGAAGGACGAAATAAACATATTTTTACAAATGGAATCATATGTGTTCAGGCGTGATCAACCTTTACTAGTCAACTAGAGATATATTGGAACGTTGTTCGAAATATTGGCACTTAACTGACTTTAAATATAAACCGAAGTGTTTAAAAATAAAGACTAATTTCTTATAAACATGATTTTCTTTCAAATAAATACTACGTAAGTATCAATCAACATTTACTCAAAAAACATGTGGCTCCCGTGTTTAAAATTAAATTAAATTTTTAACAGTCTTTGGAGAAAGTGAATAAGGAGGAACAAATCAAACTGCAGGAGTGTATTCTATACGAAAATAATCATTTTAAATAGCTTTTAATAATTTTTATCTCATATTTGTTTTTAATGGAGTTGAAAACATTTTTCATTTGCTATTTATTTATTTATTATTCTAGTATGATTTATGTTCAAAAATATTTCATTAATCATAACATTTTGTATTTTTCTTTTTTTTTTTCGAATAAGAGCACCCTGTTAATTATCACTAATTCTTCTTGATGTTCCTATACGTGACGAATGCTGGCGATCATCAAGACATTCTTTATTTTATCTGCAGCATCGAGGGAAAAGCTAAACATTTGTTATGTTGAACCAGGTTCTGAAGTTCTTTAACCAGAATGTTCTTCTTCTTCCTGGAACCCACCCTTTTTTTGTGCAGGATGGCTTGTAGGAGGGCATATCTTAATTCTTTTCGCATAATGTATCCGAAGTATTTTAACTTACGAGATTTGATGATGGTCAGTACTTCTCGATTCTTTTTCATTCTTCTGAGGACATCCTTATTTGTGACTCGGTTAGTCCACGGAATCTTGCAGTCTGCCGTTCTCTACGCGGCTCCAGTCTGGAGTGAGGCGGTAGAAATACCAACTTACAAGAGGTTCATGGCACGCGTCGACAGAACTAGTCTACTGCGGGTAGCATGTGCCTACAGGACTGTGTCAGCTACCGTTCTGTGGGTGATCACCGGTTGTATTTTTTTTTACATGTGCTGGCAGATAACAGGACCAGGATTCATAGTCGTAGTTTTGACTGAGAGATTAGTTTTAATCGGTCAGTGGCAGCAAGAGTGGAAGGCACCACGTTATGTGGCGGAGTGGACGGAAGTCGCTAATCCGGAAACTTCAAAGCTGGATGGACTGTGGGCATAGGTAGCTGGATTATTATTTGACGCAAATGCTCACAGGCCATGTCTGCTTCCGTAGCTACCTTTTCAGGTTTAGGAGGTCACAGTCCGATCAGTACCCTTACTGTGATCTCACGGAAGCTGTGGCACACATGATGTTGGAGTGTAAGCGTTGGGCGGATAAAAGAGAGAATTTTGAAAAAGAGTGTAACTGCAGAATGTTTGATTCTGTGAGAGAAATGGTGGAGAAAATGACGAGGGTGGACACGGATCCATAAATTTATCAGAGAGCTGCTCCCTTCAAAAGAACAGGGGGAGAGGGAACTCACAACAAAATTCGGAAATGTAAAGGTAACACCTTGATAGGGTTCAAATTGTCGCCGGACGAAATAGGATAGAATGAGAGACAGCAGACGCGAGAGAGATGGCAGCCTTGCTAAGGCATTTGAGCTCCATTTGATGGAGCGTTTGCTTGTTTTTGGTTCCACACTTTTTTTTCTTGATAGATGTGCATTTTATACGTTCTCTAAGGTACAAATCTTTGAGGATAGTCTTTAACAGAAGCTATAGTTTTTTTGCTACAAAAACTTTATATAACGTTAAATTGCACTGATACCAAACTGATATTAATATATATTAAAATACATATATTGTTGTGCGTCAAATAGATATCAAGTTCTTTATAAATAAATCCGATAAGAAAAGGTAAAAATGGAGAATTCAAATGCAATTTTATTACGTAAAATAATGTATTTACATTTCTTTAAAGAGTTTAGCAGTAATACAAATACATTTTTAATAACAAAGTGGTATATATATATATATATATATATATATATATATATATATATATATATATATATATATGATTAAACCTAGAGCTAAGATTAATACTATTACAAGAATTACTCAACAGTTTTCCGGGTTGAACCGCTTCGATTCTCATTGCGCCGAGCTTTCGACATCCTCTTTGATGTCTTCTTCAAAACTTTCGAGGTCTCAATCTCCTGAGCCCCCAATTTGATCAGTGTAGTAGTGTCTGGGGGCATCTATCAAAAAAATCTAGCATCAATTTTTGTTTTGTTGAAATACATATGAATTAATTTCTACTTCATCTAAGATTCCATAACTTATAAGTTGTTTTTGCAACAGTTTTTGAATGGTACAATAACCTCCTTTAGTATCGTTGTAAAAAAGCACTATTTCAGGTTTCCTGGTGATTTGATCTACTATTCCACTTGTGTGAAAGGGTGATAATAAGAGTAAGATTTTACCTTTTTTGGGAAAATCGTATACCAGAATTTTGTTACTGTCGTATGCAAAATCTGCACTAGGAATATTTCTCTTCTTTCATTGAAGTGATGGTGGTATATCAGGTTTATTTTTCCTTAAGGTCCCAACCATAATCAGTTTCTTTTGTAGTAACTTCTCTACTAGATCAGAAGATCAGAGTCCATTGTAGCATTTCTATTAGTTTTATAAATACTTTTACATAACTTTAGAACATATTGCGTTGGTAGATAGTTTGTACTATTTCTGATTTCTTTTTCAGTGGCAGGAACTCCAAATACCATGTAAAATATTTTAGAATCTCACAATATTACTATTTTTATTTTCTATTTGTCGGGTTTATGTATATTTGTTTATGTCAGAAATGTAGACTTTGAAACTGCAACGCCTACGAAAACTAGGGAGTTGTTTATAAATCCAGAAGTCCAGGAGTACCGTACAATGTACCATAATAACATACTAAGATGGAACAAACTTATCATCTCTTTGTCTATTTTTTCTTGTTTCTTTCTTATCAAATAGCAGAGAGTTGATTAATAATTCAGAACGTTTTGCGCTCATAGTCACTCTAAAAATAGCAACACCAAACTGTTTTGACTGAACCTCTAAAATATTCAGGTGATTTGAAGTTAAAACAGCGCCAGCGCTCATATATGGAAGCCTTAGGAGAACGCGAATTTCTTGACTGTACGTTTTTCTACAAAACATTACTTTGTCAACTTATGATATTGCATTTTGATTTATTTATTTGTATATTGAGTAATCTGGTCTATAATTTTATCTGTGTAAAATAATTTCCAAGCAGCTTATTCATCATTTACCCTCTTGGCATCAACTTTAGGTCCGGGAACTTCTTTCCATATACAATTTCTCGTTGCAGTTCGACATCATCAGTCGATTTACTTTGTTCATCTGCAGAACACTCATCACCTTACACTATCTGTTTCAACACCATCCTCAGATTTTTCATCATCACTAAGTTCACCTCGAATCTCATCAGCTTTCCCAAAATCTGTTTCTTCTGCTTCATATTGCCATACTAACTCTTTTAATTCTGCTTGATGCAGCTTTCTGATACTGGAAGCCATTTATGTAAAATATCACGTTTGTTACACAAAGTTAAGATGGTGTCGTATATGACTCCGGCATGAAATTTTTCAAGACATCAAATACTGGCTAACAAGTTGCCACCTTTGGGTAACAGACACTAAATGCCGGTAAGGTACTAAGAATCATGAGTTCCTTCTACTGCTGTAATGGTAGATAACCGATATTGGGAGAGGAGTGATATTGCCTGACACATCTGAGTTTACGGTACGGTTAAGCTAATATGGAGGCAAAAACTATGAAAACAGCAGAATCGCCAGTACAGAAATATAAGATGGTGATCATTAAGACTAGTTTGGATAGATAAAAGATTTCATTAAGGTACAATAAATTAATAGTACTTAAGGATAAGATTGAAAAATAAGAAAAAAAATGAAGTTGTAGTCATATACTGATATAAATACATAATTATAATTGATTTTTTATTTCTGTTTTATTTATTTCTTATCCTATTTTTTTCTTTTATTTTAGAGTGGTAATGACACAACGTATATTCCCTGTGTAACAAATATCCGCGGCTTCACGTCGTGTTTCCTATTCAGTATTGAAACTCAACATACCATTGGGTACGGTGGTAGAACGCCCACGGAAGAATGTCCGGAAGCCATCTTTGTCATGTGCATACAGAGTATCACTGGCGTCATGATTCAGGCATTTATGGTAAGTTTTAATTCCTAGTATACTATAGATAGTGATTATAATGATGTGTTAACAATAAATTAAAATTAAATAGGAATAATTAAAAGCATTATAGCAGATACTAAAGAGAATAGTAATTATGAAAATCTGCAAAGAAATAGAAGGGCTGAAAACAACTGATCAATGAACGTCTCTAATCAATTGAAAAAACTAAATAGAAGAGCAGATCTCAAAAAGAAATGCATGAAAGTCTATCAAACAAAAGATAATTTTTCATAAAAGAGTAAAAATTATAGTTTTGTACAGCTAATTACCATCTACTTCTGTTCTATTCTACTGATTATCATCTATTTACTACTTCTACTTCTTGTCACATCCAAAAATTGTTATCTGACTTGTCAGATAACAATGATATACGACTATAGGTAAATATTTTAGTAAATCATATCTTCTATCAGTTATTTTTAAAAGTTTACGACAACTTACAAACTCTTCTCCTCATTCTGACAACTACTGTTGTTTTAAAATGAACATGACAATTCGCTAAGGATTTCTGCTTAGTTGTAAAAGACATGTCGTGGAATGCAAATTTTAGATTCCCCATGTCTCTTTTAACATCTTTTATCAACGTCTGTTTGCCTTGCAATTTTTAGAAGGCTCAGATTATAAGCAGAAATCTGAATTGTGTGTCGAAACTATTTTACGGATTACTGTTGTTTTATTTTGTTAGTTTCTTCTTATTTTTGCTTTCTTCCTCTGCAATATCTTTTTTATCTGCTTCTTAATTTTTTTCCTTACCATTTTCTCCATCTCTTTTTTATTTCTTTCTTACAGCAAATCTTGGAACTATATTGGGCTTTCTAGTATTCTTTTGTGTCTCTATTATCTAAGACATAATTTACTTAAGACTTGTTTTGTAAAATTTGACATCTTCTATATATAATATCCGCTGGTGCGAAACTCTATTGCACAGTATCTGCTACTAAATATTTTTATTCACAACTCAATGTCTTGATAGTTGCCTTAAATATAAATCCTGCACAATCTTAACCTGGAATTCATCCAATACAGCATCCAGCAGTTTACTATTAGAAATAGTTAAAGAATTTTAGTACAACCGATCTTATTGGCAAATGTACGCTATGTGGGCGCTTGTTAGCAAATAAATTTTAAACATACGACTATTATCATCAATACTATATAGGGTGTTACAGTAAATAAGTGCGACAAATTTGGAGGAGATTTTGCATGAAAAAATAATAAGTTTGCTCTATAAACGTATGTCCGCAAGTAATTAATTTTCCGAGATACGGGATGTTGAATTTTTTCTTACAAACTGACGATTTATTAATTGCTTTGAAATTGGCTAATATATGCAAATAAAATTTGGTCAGTTTTAAGGGGTAGTTATTACATATTTAACTTAAGAATTTTATATTTATTATTGGCATGCATACATGTAATGGTCTTAATTTTTTAAGAAAAAAATGTATGCTACGGAGATATTTAAAATTAGAAATAATTTTTGAATTTTTCGTTCAATTTCTAACAAAAAATTTTTCTTGCCTTTTTCATGGTACGCCGTTTTTATACAAACAAATAAAACATCTTAACACGTATTTTTCATTTCTTTAATACATTATTAAGAACTATCTGATACAGTAACATTAAACTAAACCAATAACAGGCAGTAACACAGTATAAAAAGTTAAATATGCGCAAAGCTACAAGTGTTCAAAATGACCTTCCTCAGACGTGACAGACTCTTGTTCCAGAACTACTGAAATCATTGATTTTTGCACTAACGCAAATATTTCTGTATTTCTTATTGTCAATTGAAATACAAATAAAGATAGGTCACACATGAGCTGCCTTTGGTAGACTAAACAACATTTTCAAGTCTAATATTCCAGTTTCTTAAAAAAAAAAAGGTTTTTAACCAATTTTTTTATCAGTTCTTGTATATGGTATAGAAACACAACTTTAAGAAAAGGAAAAATAAATAAAATAAGAGTTACATTCTTTGCAACGTCCACATTTCGAAGGCCTCCAACGTATTAATGTAAGGTAGTCTTAACGTCCATGTTTCCATGCCGTATAACAATATGGACCATACATTTAACCATCCTGTAGCGGAGATTGAGGGAAAGATTGCGGTTACATAGTAGCGGTTTAAATTTGATAAAAGCTTGTCTTGCTTGTTCGGTACGGCATTTTATTTCTTTTTGAGGATCCCATTGGTCATCTACCATCATTCCCAAGTAATTCAATGTTTTCACTTGATCGATTGGAGCATTATCTACTTGCAGTTGTATCCTTAAAAGTGCGTTTTTCCTTCTTCTTCTTTGCCATTTATTTAGTTTTTCCAGCATTTATCTTCAAGCCATATATTTTTTCCTATGGTGTTTATTTTATTTAACATTAACTGTATATCATGTTCGTTGTCTGTTATTATTGCGGTGTCGTCGGCATAATTAATGTTATTTAACGGGAACCCGTTTACCTTTATTTAACACTCAGAGCCTTCCAGCGCCTCTGCAAACATGTTCTTCAAATAGAAATTGAAGAGCATGGGAGACAAAATACACCCCTGTCGCACCCCTCTTAAAATTTCAAATTATTCTGTGTTGGTTGATTTGTTCAGTCTCACTCGTGCTTTTTGATTCCAACAGACTTAACCAACTTATTTAATAAGATCCTGTATATTTAGTATTTATTTTAGAAGCGTCTTTCAGAAAAGTATTCAACGTTTATAAATTCGCATCAAAACATCCTCAAACTAGACGTTTGAGAATGACTTCTGTAATTCTTAATATGAGACTAAAGTTAAGATAAAGTGGGAGTATTTATAGGATGATCATGCAATAAAATGATGTATTACATGACAGTTCATACCTAACGTCTTTAAGGTGTTTAGAAATAATCGAAATGCATATCCTATCATTTGTTGTTCTATTGTTCTATATCAGATTAAAAGATTTAAGTCTCCGATTAAAATATAAAGAACACATTTTGGTATCCGTCACTAATGTTAGAGGTTACTGAATATTTAGCAGATTAGATCAAAGAATATAGTTTTTGAAGCAAAGCTTTAATACTGGCTTTGTATTACTTTTTTGTCTATAGTAAAATACTGAAGCGAGAGTCACGGAACTAGGGGCACAAAATGGCGTCGTCACGGAACTAGCGTCATAAGTTGGCTTCGTTATGGGAAGCGTCATAAAATAGCGCCTCTTTACATCATTCAATACTCTCGATCAATTCGTTTATATCCATCATATATTTATTCTAAGTAGGTTTAAAATAAAAACTGCATGTAAAATAATTATTATCAAACTACAGACATTAAATGAGAAGTAAAAAAATAAAAGCATATTTGTCAATAAAAGACTTGATTTGCAACGATTTTCAAGATTTAAAAGTCACAAATTTCATCCAATTAATAGCAATATTTAAATTTTTATAATTTTCGTTTTAAAATAATTTCATATAAATATAATTATTATTTTTAAATATAATATTTAGTTTATATTATAATCAAGTTTCGGGAGAACGGAAAACGCTGTACGAGAGGTATATGTAGCATTAAAAGAATCAGCTACAAAAATACTAAATTTTTACTAACTACTGGTTTAATACTAAATACCAACAAAACCAAGTACCTGAAAATAAGCACGCAACCACAAATCCTACAACCACTTGTTATAGAAAACGACGTCATCGAAGCGGTGAACGAATTTGTATACCTAGAAGTGCTCCTTAACACTGAAAATAATACTACCATAGAGAGGAACCGCAGAATTTTCACGGTCAACAGATGATATTTTGGGCTCAATCTTCTCATTAAATCCACAATTATATCGAGAAATACAAAAATAAAACTCTACAAAACAATAATACCCCCAGTCCTAACATATGGTTCAGAGACCTGGACCTCGAATCTATGGAGCAGTGAATGACAATGGAGTATGGAGAAGACGATACAACTTCGAATTTTATAGAATATACCAGGAACCTGGTATCGTAAAACATATTAAGATAGAACGTCTAGGGTGGATAAGGCATGTAATGCGGATGGAACAAATTGACCCAGCTAAAAGAACGCTGCTTGATAGATTTATTGGCCAGAGAAGAAGATAAAGACCCAGAATAAGGTTCCTTGATAACATCGATGAAGACCAGAAAGATTGGAATACGTACTTGGCAGAGGAGGGTGATGGATAGGGACGACTGGAAAGAAATTCTTAAAGAGTCTAGGACCCACGCAGGCTTGTAAAGCCAGAATGATGATAACACATAATTAAATTTACTATCAAATGCTATTTATTTATATTATTTAATTATAATATAAAATTTTGTTTCAATTTGACAGGTCTGTCAGAACGTCAGAAGTAAACAACGTACGCTTTGTTAATATGTCAACAGGTGGCGTGCTGGACCAAACAATAAGTCATTGAATTATTTGAATGTAATAATAATTTGTTTAAAATATAAATAATAAAGTTATTTTATTGAATGTTAAAAATATTATTTAAATTTTAAAACTATAGAAAACATAATATAAAGATTCGCGCTAATCTTCTGTACTGGCTGCTGTTTTTATATTCTGATAATATATGTTAATATCTTCTTTTTTACTTTTAGACAGTACATGAAATGAATGTTAAATCATAAATCTGCATATTACAGGTCGGTGTTGTCTTCGCAAAACTTTCCAGACCAAAGAAACGAACACAAACTTTGATGTTCTCCAGAAATGCAGTTATAAATCATCGGGACGGAGTGCCCTGTCTCATGTTTAGGGTAGGAGATATGAGAAAGAGTCATATCATAGAGGCTCACGTGAGAGCCCAACTTATTAAACATAAGGTTACTAAAGAGGGAGAAAATTTACCGTTCTTCCAAACAGAACTGAAGGTAAGCAGCAAAGTAAGTTCCAATGAAACCAAAGAGGTAATTTATATATTTGTTGTATTATTTAAGTTGCTTGTTTATATCTTATCGTAAAAATGTGATAACGTAAAGAGTAAGAGAAGGTAAATAAAACTGATAATTCTCTGCCTACTAACACAAAATAAAAATATTTTAAAATGTTTTGCAAAACATGTTTTCATAATGTTTTCATATTTACTTATTTACCTTTTATTTCTTTATTCCTTCATTAATATTGCTTTTTTACCTTTTTATATTCATTTTAATTATTGTTTTCACTCCTTAGTCAAGTCATCAGAGATTTGACCTTTAAAAATCATACAAAGAAGCTAAATTTTACAGAGAATGACAATTTTGGGACAGCTAAGAAGGTGCAAACGAGTTTGCTCTGCCTGCCCTGGTCTTCCCCTTAAAACCCCAACCTGTAGTAGAAAAAAGTATTTAAACAAACAATGTAGCTAAGATAATTTTAAACAAAAATGTTAATTAGCACTTTTTTGTGTATAATGAACCTTGTTTTTTCTCTCCGAAACAACGCTTAAAGCGACTGGCGATTTTAAATGTCAGTTACACGCGCAAATTCAATTTTTTAAATAAAATTTGTATCTACGCGGCAATAAAAATTAGATATCTTTTGATGTGCCCTATCGACAAAAATTTAAAGGTGAAGAGTGGAGCTTTCGTATGCAATTTTTGCAATTTGTCGAAAATGAAGTCAATTTCTATATAGCTATTGATATAAAGCTATAAATATGTGTTGCGCGAATTTTGCCATTATTATTTTTCTCATGAGATCAATAAAATTCATTACTTTCATTGAACTGTGGCTGCGGAATTTTCATTATTAGAGCCTAATCTTCAAAACCCATAATATGAAATTTCGATTTTGAGTTTTGGCATGAAATATGAAGCATTTAAAATATGCTTAAAAACGCTTTGTAAATGCTTCCACGAAGACGGCATTACTACAATTTTAAAAGGCAAGAATGTCATAGCTGGTGTACTGTATTTAATCTTCGGAAACGTACTACAAAAAGGAATATTTTGCATATTGTTCAAGGACCCCCTGGAAAGACAAAAGATGCTAATACACCATTAGATGTATTTCAGTGTTTACTGAATTGTGTTGATACTCTTGTCGGACTACTTATATTTTCTGAATCACAAAAATATTACCATATTGATAGTAAAGAGATGTTTGATTCCAAAATGTCTGGCTTCGTTTACAGAGCAACAATGAGCTGTGAAAGATTCGATTTTTCTTCTACATAATCTTAGGTTCGATAATATCATAAGAACTAAAAGAAAAAATATAGATAGATTGGTGCCCTTTTAGGATGTATATCCCGACTAAGTCGGATAAGTACGTAATTAAAATTGTGATGACTTGCAAAGTCAGTACCAAGTACAAGTTGAACGCAGTCCCTTACCTCGGCAAACATACGCACAGAAATGAAGAATATCTAGGAGAATATTATGTTACAAAGTTTTAAAAAAGATAAAAAAGACTAATACGATTTACGGAAGTTACCGAAACGTCACAGTGGACAGTTTGTTCACTTTAGTAAACCTTGCGGATACTCTTTTGATGCCTCCTTTCAACCTTAAAATTATTGGTACTTTGCGGCAAACTAAACGAGAGATACCCCTTGAAATTATTAATCTTAAAAACAGAGAAATCGGATATTCAAAATTTTGCTTTGACCGAGAGAATACGTTAGTGTCGTATAAAACTAAAAAGAACAAAACTGTTCTAGTTTTATTTACAATGCACCAAGTTTGTCGAACTACTAAAAACCAGAAAGAATATTGCACTATAACCAAACAAAGGATGGTTTGGACATTTTCGACCAATTTTGTGGCCACCCAAGTTGCTCCCGCAAAACTCGAAGATGCCCAAAGGTAGCGAAGATACTCGAAGGAGCATTCCCTGTGTAATAGCTCCATATCTATGGTCCTTCAGTTCTTTTAATAAGTTCTTTTACACGGAAGTGCAAGGCAGTTTTGCACACAAATGTTAACAAACATTTGTGTTCAAAATTATCTCAGCTGCATTTCTTATTTGAACCGTTTTTTCTACGCCGTACAGGTTCTTGGTAAATCGATGTTTTCCGTTTCCTCTCCCTACAAGTGGTGTTTAAGGAGGAAGCCCGGGGTATGAGTGGAAAACATTTTTTGGCATTTTTTTTGCTGTACCAAGATTAATCTTCTCAGCAAAATTCAGTTTGTTTATATGATTTTTAGAGGTTCAGTGGCATGTTTGTCTGTAAGGACTGGAGTATCTATATCTCTTTCTCCATTTTTTTATTCCTATTCTTTATCTTATCCTTTCTTTTTAGTTGCCTCCTTTTCTATTTTCCATCATTTTTCTTGTTTAATCTAGTTTATCTCAATGCTTCGCTTCTTTTAACATTTTTATTATAAAAGTTTTGATATTTTGTAGATAAGTTTCAAGCTTTATAATTTTTATTGCTTTTGGCTTTTTATTTATTCAACATTATAAATACAAACTATTAGAATTTATTTTATATTTGCTTTATGTGTTGGCTTAAATGTTTACATGGAATTGGCAAATAAATAGTTGCTCTTTATTGGTAGTTTATTAATTGTATTATATTTATTTTTAGGTTGGCGGTGATGGTGAAGAAGATAAAATTTTCTTTATCTGGCCAACGACGATTGTTCACAAAATCGATTGTCATTCGCCTCTCTACAATATGTCCGCCAATAATCTCCTAAGAGAACGATTTGAGATAGTAGTTATACTGGGTAAGTACGTACTTGGTTAATTCAACAGTAAAATTAAGCGGTTAAAAAATAATAGTGGATCATTCTACTCCGTGGCGTTACAAACTTTCGTGGGCTGTAACCGACCTGACATCGTGCCTCAATTTCTCTCTGTCTTAAACAACCTCCATCCAATTCTCCACGCCCACAACATTAAGGTTTCCTGCTATATTACTTCGCCACCGAAGTCAAGATCGCCCACGTGGTCTTCTTCCAGTTGGGATTTCTTTCCCATAACAACCTTACTATTCTTTGTTCTGAGGTGTACTCCTAGACTTTATTTCTTTTATTATGTTAGCGTCTGGATACAGTTCTTCAAAATCTTTATTAGTTCTTATACAACATATAAAAAATATGGAACAATACAAGTATAAAAGCATTTACATGTAGTCATTTAGCAGATGAAATTAATTAAGAAAGAATACACAAATATTTTCATGTTTAACTGGCCAAAAATATGTTAATAGCAGTAGTAATAAAATGAGAAATATATACATGTTTTGACCTCATATAAACTTACTATCTCAAAATTAGTAACCATGAAAATGTATGTCTGTAATAACACAGAAAAAACTCAGCAAAATATAAAAGAGCATTTGAAAATCTTCCGAAGAAATTCTAAAACAAAATAAAGAAAAATCAAATGGAAAAACCAACCTATAAATAAATATATAGCAACTATAAAATGAAATCATTAATATAAGTCAAAAAACCAAAGAACTCTAAAAACCAAAAGAGCTAATGAAGGATGAATTGTTTATAGATCTAGAGAAGAAAGTAGCAAATGTTGTGCGAAACCATTCGAATACCTAACCGAGTGCAAAGATTATGTAAATCAGTGACTAAAATCTACAAATGAACATGAAAAAGGAAAAGAATACGCCATAAACAATATAACAAATATTAATATAAAGACACCGGCATATGATAAATATTTAAAACTCATAAAGTGTGAGCAGAAAACACCATCTGGACCAAAAGGAATCTCTAATAAATTGTTTGAGTTGGTTTCAATTTATATTTGACAAGCTTTCCAGTTAATAGAATTTGTCTAGTATTTCTATTTGTTGTTCTGTAAGTGTATTTATTTATGTAGAAAAATCTTCTATCCTTCTTTATTCTCCACGTTGCATGATCCAGTCTATGACTAGGTACTAGTTTTAGTGACTATAATCAGTGTTGGCAATAAGACAGAATTATTTCACTTCATTTTTAATAATTTTACTATTTGTTGTCATAGCTCCCTTTGTTCCACTCCTGGTGTGCGATTGTCGTCGTCCTCCTCCTATGTGCCTTCTCTATTGAGGTTGGCGATCAATATGGCAAATTTCTCTCTGTTCTGGGCTTGATGTATTAAGTAATTTCCTGTTGTGTGAGTTCAATTTCTATTGTTTCGGAGCCAAGATTTCTTCTTTCTTCCTATACCCCTTTTACCCTCTATTTTGCCTTCTAATATTACCTGGAGCTGCTCAAATTCTTTATGACGCATTATGTGTCCTAGATATGACGTATTTCTAATTTTGATTGGATTAACCAGATGAGGTCGTGTGTTCATTATTTCCAGTACCTCTTCATTTGTAGTTTTGCTGGTCCAGCTTATTCTTAGCATTCGGCGGTACATCCACATTTCGAATGAATTCAGTTTGTTGAAGTCATACTGTTTTAATTTCCAGGTCTCACAGCCATATAGTAGTAGAGACCACACATAACACTTTACTGTTCTTAACCTTATTGTGATTGATAGCTTGGGGTTACAGAGCATTTTACGCATGTTCATGAAGCCAGATCTTGCTATTTCAATACGTCTTCTAATTTCTTTTGAGTGGTCTAGCTGACTGTTTAGCTCTCTGCCCAGGTATATGAAATTTTGGGAGCTCTGAAGGGTGATACCATTGATTTGTATGTTGGGTGTAATTTGTTCATGGGGGTTCTTGTGGAATACCATGATTTTGGTTTTGGAAAGATTAATATCCAAACCTAGTCTGTGACTTTCTTCTGATAGTATGTTCATCAATATTTTTAGTTGGTCTTCTGTTTCTGCTAATACTACGGTGTCATCGGCATATCTTACATTGTTAATGATGATTCCATTGACTCTGGCACCTTCAGGGCGATCTTCAAGAGAAGCTCTGATGATATTTTCGGCATAGACATTACATAGAAGAGGGGACTGAATGCACCCTTGACGCGCTCCTCGTTCTATGTTTAGATAATTGGTATTTCCGTTGCAATTCCGTCGTAGAATAATCGTATTATTCTTTCTTCAATCCTTTCTTTTATTCGATGATAAGCTTTTTAGGCGTATCTTTAGCAATCATACAACTGCTAGGCTTTATACCTCTTTATTATTGGTCTGTCTATCAGGTGTCTTTGGACAGGGTTAAATGAGTTCTGGAGCCTTAAAATAATTTTCTTTATGCGATGAACATGGACAGGGAGAAACCGCAATGTATTGAGCAATTACAGTATTTGAATAAGGAAATCTATTAAAATATGTAGTGAAAGAGGAAGGGGGAGGGGGGGGGGTGTAACACTACTACTTAATGGACGATCCGTGACGAAGAACAAGTCAGCATTAGTGAAGATATTTTTGTTAAAAGGAACGATTGCTGTGCACTTAAAACCGGATTTGATTTTCACCATGCTTGAAGACTCATTATGGGAAGGTAATAAAGCGGCTGAAGTTTATAAGACATGTAGAGGAAGGGTCAGCACAGCAATATTATTCTCTTTACAAAAATCTATTGCATTAACAGATAAATGCTATTCGTGATTATCAAATATAAGTAAATCCCTGTTTTATTGCTACATATAACATTACGGTAATACTTTTATAACATTTTCACTGGTCGTATGACCACTAGGAATAATAGTTTTAAAGCTAATAACAGTCACTTTTAGCTACAACTTTCATCAGTCTAGCTTCATCGAATCTTTGGATTCGGTAGGCATTTCCGTTTGCACACATTTCCCCACATAAATCATCATCTCACCCCTCTCTCTAGATGTAGCTATTCCTATCTGGTTTCCCCCTTTTTGTATACAGTTTTCGCACTTTTTTGTACTGTAGGGACACAATTCTAAAAACAAACAAGAAAATATGAACTAAATCACTAGTAAGTGATTTAAAGTGATAAGTGATTAAAAATTACCTCATTCAAATTGAATATTTGAGCTGGAGTGAATGAATATCAGGAAATTAATTTCTTCAATTTATTTTGTAAAATTTTCACATTCGTCAGAATAAAACTTGTTATACCTGTAGTGTCCACAGTCCCCCAAGTCTCCCCTATTTTAAAAGACTGCTATTGACAAGAACAAAATTGTGCATTAGTTATATTAGAGAAACCTTACTCGTAGTATTCTAGGTACTTAAACGAATATTGAATCAACACTATACTTGCGCAATTTATAGATTTACTCATTAATATTCATAGTTTCCTTATTGTATAAGAACTTCCTCGAAGCACTTTATATTGTCTTACGTATTTACTTAAAAAAGCTAATTGCTTAATTGCTATGATCATAATAGTTTTAATGACGTCTGAGCAGTCATTACTGCTATAACCTTTTTATTATCTAATGGATTGATAAACAATCATTCTACTTCGGTTTTCATCACTTTATATTATTACAGTTGTCACAAACTGGCTTATACATAAACCAATTAGCAACAAATAATTATTACAGATATAATACAACAAAAAAAATATTACAAAGAAAAAAGAATTAGACAAAAATTTCTTCATCGTATCACTGGGCACCTTTCTGTATTCTTGGAAGGGTGGAAGTTAAAAACTATTCTATCTTATGTAAATTTTTTCGCTGAATACGAATATGTAGGTTTCATATCTCAAAAAGTGAGATATGAGACAAAAACGATTTTTTTATGATATTTTTAACGGTATGAAACACACAAAAAAACACTAGACAGCACCAATAATAGAGATATAACAATAACAATGGGGGATTTTAATGCCAAATCAGGAAAAGGTAATTTCCATGAAATTATTGGTGAAATCCAGATAGGAATAAGGAACGAAAGGGGGGAAAGACTGACGGAATTAACCACCTCATAGATTATATACATGGAAATCACCTATGGATAGCAAAGAAAAATCATCAGAAACCAGATAGATTATATCCTTATCAATAAGAGATACCGTAAGTCCATCAAATCGGCAAAGACATATCCAGGAATAGATGTGTTATCAGACCACAATCCAGTAATCGAAATGTACTTAAATAAAATAAAAAATCAACAACAGACACAACAAATAAGCACTCTGCTAAAACACCCGAATATAAAAGGAGAACTTACGTTGAAAATTAACGAGAAATTAAGCAAAACAATAATCAATGATAATGAAGATTCCAACGAAAAATGAGAAACATTAAAGCACATTAATGATGCCAATTAAAGATACGCTGAGTAGTCACAAAATCGATGAAGCTAAGACTCCATGGAGGACAAATGCGATCCGTCAACTAATGGACAAAAGAAGATCATACAAAAACAAAAATGTAAATGAATATAAAGCCACACAAAAGGAGATCAGAATAAAAATACTGACAGCTAAATAGAAGTGGTATAACGACAAATGTTTAGAGAAAGAAGAACTCCAGAGAAAACATGATAGTTTTTGAATTGCACAAAAAAATTAAATAATTAGCAGGTATAAGACGGTCCAACAATAGTAACACCCTGGTTGATACGAATGGTAAAATAATATCTAATATCAAAGGCAAACTAAACAGACGTAGAGAATACGTCCAAGAATTGTTTGAGGACGACAGGACACAATCAATCGTAATCGTCTTCAAACTAACGGAATCGCAGTAACGATATTGTGGGTCCCATTACACGTTGGTATTCCAGGTAACGAAAAAGCCGATCAAGCAGCAAAACAAGCATGTTCTCTTAACGTTACAACAGACATTCAAACATCATCATATCTAAAAAGAACAATCAAACATAAAATAATGGACCTTTGGAATGATCAATGGAAAAGAAGCAATACCAAGTTAAGCGTTCTACAACCAAACATTTTCTATCACAAGCTCTCACCAATGAAAAGAAAGGACAAATCTATCATTCGAAGATTGAGAATAGGGCACACACGCCTTACACATGGACACCTAATGAATTCCAGTAATCCGATTTTGTGCCAGTACTGCAACACCACGACTTCCGTAGCACATGTACTTCTTGACTGTCAACACTACCTAGCGGCCAGAAGAAAATATAATCTTGGTAACAACCCAAAAGACATTCTTATTTAAAACAGCAGTAACTACGAAAATATATTAAACTTTTTAAAAAACACAAAGTTATACAATTTAATTTAAAACAAAATGTATTAAAAAAGTGTATTGTATCTAATTTGTACTCCATGTAAAGTATTAACCATGTAAACATAAATGTAAATTGTACCTGTGTCAATGACCATTAGCTGTCGAGACACATATGTTCGAAATAAAAAGAAATAAATAAATAAATAAAAATACTTTTCAGCCAGTTTAAAAAATATGTTTCGATTTCCGCCATGGAGTTCGATCTAAAAATACAAATTAACCCTTTCGATATGGTTTTTTTTAACGACTTTTAAAAACATATTTTTGTGGTTTTTTATTTTTATATACACAAATATACCCTTTTTTAACAAAAAATGTTAATGAAAACGTTAGGGTGTTCGTGGGGTAGTGGTACACATATGTATCATTAGTCTTGTGTATTGGTACATATGTGTACCAACAGCACATAAAAATATTATTATATACCACATAATATATTTGTATTACTTTATTACTCAAAAATACAAAACAATTACTCAAAAATACAAAATATTATTTACGGTGATATACTGCGAAACAGTTTTTACATAAAGGAATGTCACACTCTTCGCAAAGGGTTTTTGTACGTGTTTGAGTTTTATTATCAGTGCACATTTTACATCGTCTTCTTGTGCTTCCTTTAATTGGAAGATGTAATGATACACTCTCGAAACGTTTTCTTTTCATAGATATTCTTCCCTTCTTAGATAAACGTCGTATAGCAGCTATTTTTTGTCCTTCAGCTATCATTTCTTCTGCCAGAGGTACCAAAAATTGAATCAGAGGAATTTTTTTCTTATTTTTTTCATTATAAATAATCCATGAGTTTACAACTGACATCATAAGTAAGCGATGGAATACTTTTTTCCACCATTTGTTTGATTTACGATCTAAATCGTACAATCCTACCATTTGGTCTGCTAGATCAACCCCACCCATAATTTTCCTGTAGCACGCTATCATTTCTGGACAGGACACATTTACTTTCGAACCATCTCTCATGGTTTTATTGATAGATGAAACACTGTCATTATGGCAATTACTCAGCATCAAGACTTCCTTGGTGTCCTGCCATTTCACAAACATTAGTCCGTTTTCACTGCACTGAATTACGCATTCACCTCTTTGCAATTTATCTTTTATTTTTGCAAGTTTTTTCTATTTTGGTTACAGGTCCCTATTGCTGCGTACTCTATATTTTCCAACAGACAAACCGAAGTAAAAAAACGATCAAAGCAAAAGGATCTCTTTCTTTTGCTGTGGAAACAAGTTTGTTCACTACACGTTCCCCAAGAGTTCCTTCTACATATTCAGTTTCGCGACCTGTGTAGATGTTGAAGTCGTAGGTATATCCAGTAAACGAGTCTGACCTAAGCCACATTTTGATTCCCCTTTTTACTGGTTTTAGCGGCATATACTGTTTGAGTGACGATTGACCTTTGAATTTCGTCATGGACTTGTCGATACTTTGAAAACTGCTGTCTTGTCGATATTTTTGAAAGGTACCTTTCAAGCATTGTACAACGTCATCAATGTAATACGTTTTTGAGGCTTCTGTTGGTTTCTTTGGTGATGCAAAATATATTTTTGACGATATAACTTTGAATCTGTCACGGGATATTGCATTTTGAATTGAAACGTTTCCCAGTGAAGGATGAGTTGACCAATAATTACTGATTTCTGGTACACGGTTGTAGCACATAACTAGCATACAACCAAGAACTATTTGAATTTCTCCTAAGTCAGTTTCTTTCAGACGAGCGTTTCTTCTTGACTGCTTACATATTTCAATTCTTTCATTAGTGCATTGAGCAATATACATATACAAAGAACGTGGAAACAACTTTTTGAAATATTGGTATGCCGTCAAGTTAGATTGTATGCCAGCATCCAATGTACAACTACGTTGACTTGAAATTTGTTTTTTCGGAGCAAAACCTTCATTTGGTGTTGACCACAACACAAAAGACCTACTAGGTGTGGCAGTTTCTTGTAAAGTTTCCTGTGTATCACGAACTTCTAACTCTGATTCTGATTCTTCATCAGAAGTTTCGTGAAAATTATCTTTGCAGTCCTCGTCTGATTCCGATTCATCATCAGAATGCTTATACATGTCATCACTACTTCCAGACTCGGAAAATGATAATTCTGCATAATATTGAAGTTTTTTCTGTGTAAGTGGCCTTTTCTTATCCATATCTAAAAATGACATGAATAAGACTAATGGTACACTTACATACCGTACTATAAGACTATTGGTACTTATTAGTACCATAGATTTTAAAAACAGTCAAATGTTTATTTTACTATAAATAAATAACAATCTAAATATACTTACTATAAAAAGACACAAAAACAAACAGTCTGTAAGATGATATAATACAATTTAACTATAATTTGTATCAAAAAACAATGTATTTATGCTGACTGTAGCAACCAACACATCTAAAACTCGCAAATTCTAGGTTAACTAAAATATTTTACGCGGCTACACGTGAACGTGACTCAAACGATGCAATGGAGAACTGACTGGTACATTTTTAAATAATATTTAACGGCAAAATATCACTTTAGGCTTGTATGCAAACATAGTGGTACACATATGTACCTGGAGTCTCGAAAGGGTTAAACACAGTATTCTGTTCTCTTCCCAGGAAATTATTTCGTCAGTTTTTTATTCCCAATTTATCGTCTGCAGCTGTTGCATACATCATCAAATATGATAATATGATTTTGTTTTCTTACCAAAATCTCTTCTGAAACTTTTATTGATTTAACAATAGAAAATTAATGGGAACTTTTCTGTATTTGAAAAAAAAATCAATCAATTTTATGGAGCATCGGTTTGAAAGCAACTGAAAGTTAGTGGTAACATGGTAAAATTATCATTATATTTATGTTTGTTTTGAAAAATTAAGTGTATATACCTGATTTTATTTTTAGAGGGAGTTATTGAATCTACTGGTATGACCACCCAAGCAAGATCCAGCTACTTACCATCGGAAATATTATGGGGTCATCGGTTCCAGTCTCTCATCACCTTCAAGAAAGATTCCGGGGAGTACGAAGTAGACTATGCTTTGTTCAACAATACTGTGGAAGTGGATACCCCTCTTTGCAGTGCCAAAGAACTGGATGAAAGGAGAGCAATGTACAATCACGATGGATTAGGTAAGAAAAGTGGATATGTATATTTACTACATTTATGGGATCGTATTTTGCTGTTTATTATATTCAGTTGAGAAGGTGCTGCTAGCAATAAATTTTAAGTGTAAAATTAAAACTTGTATTGTATAAGTAAATTTTTCCGTTTACATTTTGCTTGCAGCTAAGGATAATAAGATTTTTTGTTTCACAGACAGATATTTAATGTGTCCGAAAACCACAATCTTGACCAACAAAAAAGCAAAAGTTAACGGTTGATTGCCCTGTATTAAAAATGAGATAGATTAAATTGGCTAAATCTAAGCAAAACATGACGTAAAGTCTATATTTAAGTCAACGAAGATGATAAAAGTATGTCTAAGATCTACCAATAGTGAGTCAAATATTGATAGATCACAGTTTGGTTTTCGGAAAGCACTTGGAACTAGAGAAGCAGTTTTTGCTCTCCAGGTGCTTATACAGCGGTGTAGAGACGTTGATAAGGACGTGTATTTGTGCTTTGTGGATTTTAGAAAAGCATTTGACAATGTCAATCATGAACAATTGATAGATATTCTGCAAAAGACAGATATCGACGACAAGGACATTCGAATTATGGCAAACCTATACTGGGGTCAAACAGCAAGAGCAAAAATTGGCAACGAACTCACTGGAAGTGTGCAGATCAAAAGAGGTGTCCGTCAAGGGTGTATCTTATCCCCACTCCTATTTAAATATTTATTCCGAGGAAATATTTAAAAAATGTATGGAAAATGCAAATGAGGGCATAAAAATAAACGGCGAGTTAACGAACAATAATGCCGACGACATGGTGATCCTTGCCAGTATCATAGACGAATTACATCAGGTAATGGAAAAGGTTTATTCAGTTAGGGGATTCAGTGACGGCCTGAGCCTAAACTTCAAGAAGACAAAGTGGATGCTGATAAGCAAAAAGCAACAACCTGCTCGACAATTACGGATAAGTAACATACTAATTGACTATGTAGAATCTTATGCGTACCTTGGCACCAACATAAATGCAAAATGGGAACAGGCCACAGAAATTAAGGCGAGAATAAAACGAGCTAGAGCAGCATTTAACAATATGAAAAAGCTCCTTATAAGCAAGGATTTGTCTCTTCTCCTAAAACTACGTCTAGTTAAATGCTACATCTTTCCGATCTTACTATATGGTATGGAGGCCTGGACGCTGACAGAGACGCTCACGAGAAAACTAGAAGCATTCTAAATGTGGGTGTACCGACGCATTCTTCGTATATCCTGGACCGAACATGTCACCAACACAGAGGTAATCCAAAGAATCAGAAAGGAGAAAGAAATCGTGAGCACAATAAAACAAAGAAAGCTTGAATATCTAGGCCACATATTGAGACATATTGTCCAGGGGAAAATAGATAGTAAGCTATGGCCAGGCAGGAAAAGACACTCCTGCCAGAAGTGGCTCCAAAATCTGCGGAAGTGGTTCGGGCTCACATCGGTCGAATTATTCAGAAGCGCCGCAAACAAGATCAGAATTGCCATGCTAATAGCCAACGTTCTCAACAGACAGGGCGCTTGAAGAAGAAGAAGAAGAAGAGGATCTGCCAAAGATATCAGAGATCAAATAGGATTAGAACAGAAGAGTAGTGTAAATACTCGTTTGACTGAAAAAATAAAGACACTTCGCATTGGTCACTGCAAGATATCAGTCTTTGTAAGACACACCATCATACAAGACAAAACCTCAAAATTATAGTCTAAAGAACACTGGTGCTTAATAAATAATCATACTAATATCCATGGGGATTTAAAAAGACTATTTGAATAAAGTAACTATGTGAGTTAAGAATAAGAATTGGTGGAGAAATCATAAACACCATGAGATTTGCAGATGACACGGTAATTATGGCTGAGAGTATAGAAGATCTACAAACTTTACTAGATGCAATAAATAGTGAATGCATTCAAATGGGACTTGACATCAACACAGATAAGACCAAATTTATGATAGTATCAAGGAGTCCAATAAATAATGAACAACTAACTCTTGGTGGACAGCAAATAGAGAGAGTGACAAAATATAAATATCTGGGAGCTTACATCAACACAGAATTAGATCCAGACCAAGAGATCCGGGTACGAATAGAAATGGCAAGGGCAGCGTTCTTAAAATTCAAACAATTGTTCTGTGACAAAAATCTGAATATTGCGCTGAGACTGAGGTTTGTTGAATGTTACGTCTGGTCGCAATTATTGTACGGGGTAGAAACATGGACACTAAAAGCGCAAATAGTTAAAAAGATTGAAGCCTTTGAACTTTGGATATACCGGAGAATGTTGAGAATCCCATGGACTGCCAGGGTCACCAATGAGGAAGTGCTGAGAAGAATGGGTCGAGTCAAAAAATTGTTGAGAACGATAAAAGTACGCAAGACTGCATACCTTGGACACATACTAAGAAATAATAAATATAGTCTTCTGCAGGTCATCATGCAGGGTAGAGTCGATGGCAAAAAGGGAATAGGTAGAAAGAGGAAGTCATGGCTGCGAAATATTCGAGACTGGACAAACATGACTGTAGACGAATTATTCCACGTTGCAAAAGACAGAGAAGCTTTTAAAAATGTGGTCGCCAACCTCCGTTAATGGGGACGGCATAGGAAGAAGAAGATTTGAATAAAAAAACGTCTGAAGCGTTTTGATTATAAAGAACAATTTAGCCATCTAATGATGGTATGTATCTTAGCAGTATGAATCTCCTTCCTACGAAGATTTCACCGCTGATTTGAACCAACCGAGAAATTAGCTAGCACTTAAAAGTTATAAGTAGTACAGGTGTTCGACAAAATTTTCTAGTGGTTGATACATTTATGTTAATTGTCGCATCCCATTGAGAATGTCTGGCACAATATAAGACGAAACTTTAATGAAGTATATTTCCTTATCACGCGTATAATCCATGAAAGTATGCAGATGAGTTTTACATTATGTATTAGGTGAACATAAATAATATATTATTGTATATACCTGCCATCGTTTAACATTCACCTAACATATTTCTTTATTTCAGAAGTAAATTCGAAATATCTAACGACTGGTAAGCACTGCAGTATAATGCTTGTATATTTGGTAGCTTTAAAGGCTTAATATCGATGTAAAAGAGCTGTGCTTCCTGAATTTTCCTTTACAATGTTTTTTGTTATAATTATCATCTTGATCTAATACTATCAATATTTTTTTATTTGAGAAATGTTATAAGATTGTACTACTACAAGTTCAAAACTTCTATCAGAAGCAGTTGACCTTCAGTCAATATCCTAGGGTCAGTGGAGTTTTTATTAGATCAATACTCTGATGATACTCTGACTCTGTCCCTCTTACACACACAAATACGTAGTTAACCCTGCTCCTAAGAAACATGTGTATACCATTGCATAGTGGGATCCACATATCCGAAGATCAAACCGGTCACACTTTGCTATGAAGTGGTACCTACCTGCCCCCAGGCTTTTCCTCCACACTCTTCCCCATCGTAGAACTTACGTGAGGAAACTTATGATCTGATCGTTACGTTGGGTGTCCGCGGTAATGCAACACCCTCTGTTCTTCGTTACTGTGGTTAGTCCACCTAACTGTAGAGATAGCATAAAAATCGGATTTTCTCCCTGTTTTCCTATTTTCCCTATATTGTGCTAGGCTGAAGATACTAAAATTGGAAGATAGAAAGGCAAGCCACTTGTTTATGTTTAATATTACGGAATAGATCTAGGTTAGTAGACGTACATTGCTATTCAGTAAATAATATCTTTGTTTCGTCAGTTACAGATCGATTACTATAATTTGTAGTACAAATCTTTCGAAAACATTATCTGTAATTAGAATTAGCTGTACCAATTAACACTATGGATATCTCGATCTAGATGCGATTAAAATCTTTTGAAGAATCCAAATAAATAATGATCACTAGTTTAAAGTGAGAACTAAAATTTTTGCTTTCGGCTAGTACCATAAATATGAAAAGAATATTTTTTTTTCTTATTATTAGATTTTGGTTTTTTATTCTTAGCATAAACTTCAATATATACCCCTGTATAGCACAGTCAAAATATTGCCTCTACTATGTTGCTTAGTTCCCCATAGAGGTACAATACAGTAAGCAGATGTATTTTGCATGGACACGTTGTAGTTAATAAAATCAATGTGGTACCTTATGTGGTAGATTGTACTAAAATGGGTTGTTTACTTTTTTCAGGTCAATGCCGTATGACAGGTCTCTTCCCCACAGCTCGCTCCCATTCGAGCGATACCCTCTCCAGCATGGACTCGTTGTCGATAGATGACGGCCATATTGAGATGAAAATACCGGTGAGCCCCATACCAGTCACAGTTACAGCCCCGAGGAAGCAGAAGAAAAAACGCCGCTGACAAACGGATCTGTGCCTAATGGAACTTTGAAAAATAAGTCTACTATTTTACCTGTATAACGTATGTGGAAATTAGGTTAAAGAATTTATCGAATTGTAAGGGATTAAATGTACAGGATAGATGAGGGACATGTATTATTTGTATTTTGTAAATTGCATAACCAAACATAACCTATAAGTTGTGTAATTTTTCCAAATGTCATTGAATATAATAGACGTATAATACAAATAGACAGCATTGCAATACAGCGTCGTTCCTCCAGTGCGACAGAGAGAACTGACACAAAGCAGTCCCTGCATATCTTTCTAATAGGCCGGATTTTTTTACCACGTGACCTAAACCACCAATGGGAAGGTCAAGTGGTCGATCCCGGTCCATTAAAACAGTGACAGGGACTGCTTTGCGTCAGTGCTCTCTGACGCACTGGGGGAACGGTAATGCATTACAACGATCAGTCTATCTTTTATTATATGCCTATAATCTCACTTGCGAAATCATAATTTGATGATCACCTATCCACCAATTTTGGATTTTTGGCATTTTAATGAGTTATCATTACACTTAAGTCATATATTTATGCTTATCTAAGCGGTTCATAGGAAGATTAAAAATGCAAATGCGTGATACCTATCTATCTCAATAAAAAAGGTACATTTTATCTGTACTTTTAGTATAGATATTTTAAAATATTTTCAAATTTTATATACGCTTAACTCTTGTACATATGTTTTTTATATCGCAGGTCGATATAACCCACTTTATTTGTTAGTATATAAACAATGGGTCTAAACTAAAGGAAAATTAACTGCGCCAGAACCAAAAGTATTTGAAAGTTGATGGCATTGTTTTCTTCTTATTAAATAGTACCTACCTAATGTACTTGCCAGTTTTTCGAGGTCGTGGAAAAAGACAATAGCAAAATTTTTAACATAGTCCTATTTTCTAGATTTTTCATATTTTTCATCGACTTTCTGTTTCAAAATTTCATCGCTTTCATCATTTCCTCAAAAGTGTTACTACATAGTCTCCTCCTCTACATTGTATACATATTTCTTCGGGATATTTGATTTATAATGTTAATATAGGTATCATCCCTATTGTCAGTTTATTATATCCCTATTCTTAAATTTCTGCGATCTTCTTCGTATCTTTCATATTTGATATAATGTGACACTTCTCTTTCGTTTATTATTACTTGTTTTCTGCTTTTTTTTCATAGTTCCAATTTGGTAGATACTAACAGCAATATGGAAGAGTTATCTTCTTCTTCTTCGCGTGCCATATTAGAATTATCCGACGTTGGCGATCGTGAAGTATCGTGATTTCTTCCAATATTCCTAACAATTTTTCTTCATTGGTCTCTATCTTGAGCTGATCTGAGAGCTCCGCAGTATAAGCTTCCAGCTGAATTCTTAATTTAGTCCAAATATCTAGTTGGTGATCGTCCTCTTGATCTTCTCCCCGAACGTTTCCAGAGACAATTAATCTCTCCATTATAAATATTAAATAAGTCAGGTGACAACACGCATCCTTGTGTAACACCTCTCTCGGTCTTGAATTGGTTAGAGAACTTCTGATCTAGTCGTACTGTTGCTGTATTGAACTAGCACAGATTTTTAATAAGTGACACCAGTTGCATTGGTGTGCCCATTTCTATTAAAATGGACTACAGATTTATCCAGCTTACATAATCAAATGCCTTTTGGTAGTCAACGAAGGGTATAATCATAGGTACTTTAAATTCTCTAGACTTTTCAATGAGTTGTCTCAGGTTCAGAATTTGTTCCTTTACCCTTCACAAACCCCGCTTGTTTCTGAGGTATTTGGTAATGTAGATATGTTTTTAATCTGTTTTTGATGGTATGTAACAATACTTTACTAGCATGTATTATTAGTGACAGTGTGTGGTGGTTTTCATATCTGGTAGTAGTTATTTTGGATAAATTGAGGTACACCAATCAGATGGCTATTTTCCTGAATTCCAATCAGTGACACAAATAGAATAGATGATATGTAAGTGCCTGGGAATTTATTTCTCTTTGGCGATTTAATTGCGTTTTTGGCTTTAGCGAGTAAGACAGTAGGTTCTCTAGGGTAGACAGAGGGCCACTGATTGTCTGCTGGTTCCTCGTTATTTTTATATAGCTCGCCAAAGTAGTTTCGCCTTGTTTTCAATATTTCGTCAGTATCGGTTTTTAGATTACCCTCCTTATCTATTAGAAACCACCTTTAAGATTTAAATTTTCTGGTTAGGACTTTCATCTTCTGAAATAAATCCCTCGGTTCATTTTGATAGCCATGTTTCTCTTTCGCTCTGCATATTTGAAAGATGTAACTAGCTCTGTCTTTGCAGCACTGTTTTCTGATTTCTTTCGATAACGCTCTGTATTCATCGTTTGTTCTGTATCTAGCTTTATGTTCTTTCTTGAATCACAGTCCACGTATTATCGGATATCCACAGCTTACGGCCCGTGGAAACCGCTGCCTCACAGTCTGCTGCAGCCTCGATTACCTTATCTTTGGGTTAGATCCAAGTGCTCTCAGCATCACTATCTACTTGGTCTAAAGAAAGAGCTTCTTGTATGTTTTGTTGGAAGTAATTGATTTTTGATAAATCTAGAGACATGACTTTTCTTAAGGGTCTTCTTTTAAGGCCTTTAAAACGAAGTCGAACGTTTAATACCAGGAGTTGATGATCGCTTCCACAGTCTGCGCCAGGATATGTTTTACAGTTAAAGACTTTCAACACCTAACCTCAAAATTGTACAAAAGTATTGAACTATCCATTGAAAATCTGTCTCTAAATCACATACATACACTTTACCACTTACCATGCATTCTGATGTCTAGTACATACAGTGGGATTGCAAAAATATATCATGAACTATCATATATTTTGGGTTCTCGTGTAGTGAAAACCTGAATGGTTGTAATATATTGAACAAAAATAAATCGTGTTAGTGTTACTAGATACACTGTAAAATTGTAGTTAAACTACTGCTACCCATTACTAAGTGACCTTATATATGTAAATAAATAGGGCTTATGCAGAGTTGGGAAGGTACGCTATTATCTCGATAGTTATATAGTTATAAAATAACCTTTTCTATCAGAACCAATAGCAGAAGTTGTGAAGTGGTTATTCATAGATAGTTGATATTTTGTATTATAAACAATAAACAGCTGTAATTTCATTTTTTGGAGTTTGGTCTCATTACAGAAAAATAACGAATACACATTTTTTTGAATGCATTGAAAATACTATTTTATCTTATCTGGTTTATCAATTATTTCTTTTATAAGTTTTATAGAGTTAAAACACAAATTAAGACCATGAGTCCTGCAATACTCTTTAAGGATGAAGTTAAACAAAAGATCATATTAAAATCTTTCAATGACTAATGACATCGATATTATTGGTCAGTATACACATTTCTTTAGTTGTACATTTTTTTGGTACCAGCAAGAAAGAATGTGGAAATGAGAATGTGTTAAATCTTTTCGACTACACAGGATTTAGAGATCTCATTGTCAAACAGTTTGCATTGATTTTCGCATTTATACCATCTGATCCACCCGTCTTACGATTTTTTAAACTAGAGATTGCATATTCTACTTCTGACACTAATATTGGTGATCCAGTTAATTAACTGTTTCTATCATCAGTATTTACGTTACGATTGTCAGAGAAAGGATCTATGTATCTACGTTCTTTATGGAAGTTGAAGGGTCATTTTATAAATAGCTTTTCTGATTTTAGCAGTTTAGCTCTATCCAAGCATTTTTTGTCATTTCTTTTATTCTTGTATTAATTATTTTATATACCTTTTCATTCCTTTTTACATTTCTTTGTAAAATTTCTTCTGTGATCCAACTTTCCTTTGTTCTTTTTTTTTCTAGTTGTGATTTTGTAAAACCTTTTGTTGGATTTGATGTCTTCCCACTGTTGTTCTATGTCGTCCACCTCATATTTACTTAAAGTTTTTTTGTTACAAATTCTGTTTGAAGCTTCTCTTTCTGACTTCCGTAATTCCCGTTTTTACATTTATTAAATTGATGCCATCGTAGGCATTTGAGTAGAGAGAGCTTTCGGGATTATATTAAAAAACTAAAAATTTATAAATAATCATACCTATTACTGTAAATCAGAAACTGTTTTACACGTTAGGCCATAAACTAATAAATACTATTAACCATAAATTTTAGATCCCTGGCTCAATTTCCTCCTCTGTTCTCCTGTTTCTTTTTCTTCATCGTCCCAGAAATCAGACAGTGTACTTCTCTCCATGCTTTCTCTCCTCTCAATATTATGTTTACAATGTTTCTTTCATCCAGCCAAAAACCAATTTGCCTCTCGAAATCGCCCCTCTCATTTGCCCATCTCTGCAGTTAAAAATGTGGGCGGGAGCGTTAGGTACCCCACAAACAGTACATTCTGCCGAGGCAGATTTGCCTATTCTATTTGTGAAGATTCCAAAACTACCATGTCCGATCAGAAACTGCGTCAGGAAGTAGTCTAGTTTCCTGAACTTACATTCCCACCATAGTCTCAGAACGGGAATAAGCTCCTTCGTACACCTTATCTTTCCACTATCATTCGTCTATTCTCTCTGCCACTCTACTATTGTTCTTTCTCTCTCATTCTCATCTATATTTACATCCATCCTCTACTCATACATCCTCGCTCGCTCTTTAAACAACAAAATGATCGGGATCACCGCTCCAATGGCATATAGAGCCTAATTTGAAACTGTCCTGTATGCGCTAGATACCCTGAGAAGCATTCGCCTTTGTAAAGTCTCTATCAGCTTAGCGTATTTCGCAGTATTTAGTACGCTACACCACACAGGGGCAGCTTAGGTTACCACCGACTGAAAAACTCCATTTAGTACCTTTCTTTTGATGCTACCTGGGCCTCCAATGTTTGGCATCAGCCGTATCAATGCTTCCAGATTTCGGTTCGCCTTCTCTACTGTCTTTTGGATATGTACTCCGAACCTTAGTCCTTCCGACAACCAGACCCCCAGATACTTAATTGATTTAACCGGTGCAACCTCCA